CCCCCTCCCCGCCCACCGAACGGAAAGTAAAACACGTGGACGTCGAGAGGTAGTCTACGGCTAGCCAGTATGACTTTTGGCTTTGTCTTCGTCCGAATGTTACGGCACTTGCAACACATTTAGGTCATACAAGTGCGAGGTGTTTCTAGAGAGTGACAAACATAAAAAGGAGGAGAGAAAAGGACGACAGATGTTTGAACGGAAAATTAGAAAAACCACACCAGAACACGCGCCAATCACTCACAGTTAGCCTAGAAACAGCCACATATTGCCACAAACAGATGAAAGCAAATACAGCAATTAAGAGGAACGAAAATGGCAGGGCATAAAAGTGCTTATTATGCAGCCGCTATATAGAGAAGAACAATTATACCTGAACTTCACGTCATGAAAACAAAGTAATTTTTACACGAGACTTTAACAACGAGGATTTTTATAAATAACACTAATACATGTAATTGTCATAATATATGGCTTTCACTCCTATTAACACAATTTACATCATTTAAGAGGCGAGCAAATTCAGCCCTGCTGTTAGTCAAGGCCAGCCCGGGTTAAAGCGGTATGCACCGTCCCAGTAGACAGACGGAGATCATAAAAAAAACAACAACCCCAAAACAAACAAACAAACCCAAACATACATACATCCCCAATCCGGAACCGGACAAGCGTCTTCTGCGTGTAAAAAAGGAATTTCACCTTCAAGGATCGTTTAGCGACTGCTAAAGTAGAAAAGAACATACCTGTATAATGCCGTTGGGTATCTTGGGCTCGTTCCATTGCACTATGACGGTCGTGGAGCTCGCTGCCCTGGCTAGCACGGTCTCTGGAGGACTGCCTGGAGCTGTAGGAGGGAGAAGAGAAAGACACAACATTAGTTCATAGGTTGGGACTTTCACACCAGTCAACAGGTAACAATATATTTTGTGCATAAGAGTGTCAGTTTATATGTTCTGGGTTTAGATTTAGTAAGAGTTTTACAGCACTTGCAGCAGCACAAAGAGGTCATAAAAGTGCCGAAGATTAGAAGTGTTATAAGAGAGGAGAAACACAAAAAGAAAGATGAGAGATTGTTTGTTTTAGTAGAGGTTTTACGGCGCTCGCAACTGCATAAGGTCATAAGAGCGCTAGAAGATTAGAGGTGTTACAAGAGAGTAACAAACATAAAAAATAAGAAGGGGAGATAAGGACGATAGATGTTTGATAGGAAAGAAGAAGCAACCCACACCAGAGCACTCGTCAACCACTGATGAAAGTAATTTAGAACGCTGGATGACTCGAAAATAGCTGAGTAGAGTATCCCGACAGAAAAACGGGAATACTCCACAAAATCTGTTTCCTAACGCAAGAACCGAACTCAAGGCATAATATGACACGCACAAACAACAACCACCAAATACATGGTGACTTGAATATTCAAGCAATTAACATGGGGAAAGGGAAACAGTGGAACGATAATCAGCGATTAACCAACTCGGACCCGGAATGTGAGAAAAACGAGATGGGTGGTGCCTACTGGAGTGGGGG